GAACCTGTTTCACAAATCCTGACACGTAAATGCGCTCAAAAAACAATAGTAACATCAGAAAAGAATCATTAACTTACTCGGTAAGATCATCAAAGGAGCGATATCCACCAGAAGACATCATATTGCCACTGTTAGTTCTGCCTCATCTTCTTTCATGTTAAACTAAAATAGAAAAATCTCAGAGATACAGAAACAAGCTGGATGTCGTGCCAACAAGAAGCGATGTCGCAAACAATTTCCTCGCGCTTATGTTATTTCCGCAATAAAAAGACACGTGTAAATAACTGTTTACATACAAAAAACCAGTGACGGTGTATGCACTAGGGTTGCTGGCACACACACAGACACACACACACGCACACACACACGAACACACACACATACACACAGACAAACCCGTGACAATATGCGTTTTGTGCTGCTGTAACAAAGCGCAAAACGTATAAAAATTCTGTGAACTGCAATTTTTACGTGTCCTTAGGTAAATGTTTTATGACGAAAGCATGGCCAGGAATCACGATACAAAAAGTTTGAAATTTTTTGCTTGTCGTGCCAAAGCTTTCACATGACCGTACGCGTGATGCGGAAGTATGTGAAAGCTGTTAACACGTTTCCAGGATCGCACTTGGCCAGGGAGCATAACGGCAAAACTTTAGTATCTGAGCTTCATTGGTTGCCCCGTTGAAATACCCGGTTACATGCAAATTACGCACCAAGATCTTCACTAATTACGGAGGCCAGGTGCAGTGAGGAGTTCAAAAGTGCAGGACAGCACGCAGGTCTTGCAAGATTAGTTGATAATGGCAATCGATTTACTGTGCGAACATCGGATTTCAAAGAATGTGCACAATGAAGCTTGTTGCAGCACATAATTCCACGGCAATAATGAATAAAACACAATTAAACATTTGGAAAACAGATGAAAATATTGAAAGAATCTTCTACAAACCCACTGCTGCAGTGTAGCAGGGATCTTGCGGAATTTCGATGTTAATACATTGACCGAGAAGTGATCCAAAACAGCTCAGCAGACCATACAAAAGGGTGGATGTCAGGGCTCACGGATTTTGTCAAAGCACTGCGTAAGAAATTCGCTCCCCCAAAAAAGAAAACACGCAGGTGGTGTTTGAAGCAAAAATGGCAAGATTATCAAAGGGAGCTTTTAAATGACTAAAAATATGTTCGCTAGTCGGGGATTAGTTGCTTTCGCTTATTCTGATCGATATCTTAGAAGTAAAAAACACAATCCATCTCAAAAAATAGAACCGAATTGGCAAAAAAATTTTCTACCGCACCAAGTCACAGTAATTCTCAGTCAGAATTTTGTCGCAAATTTTTGAACGAAAGAATAGCGAAACAACTGCTCACCATCCTGACACCAAATGCAACTTGCCTCTTTCGAAAGCCAGTAAATACAAAACTGTTCTAGCAATAAACGCATTGAAATTCACAAATTCTACGTCTAGAAATAACGGCAAGAAAAGATATGAACAATAATGATTGCACGTAACACCGGCCTGAACAGGCTTTCGTACAGGCAAAAGATTACAGTCTTTACATGTTGAATCTGTGAAACACTGCAGGGCAAAAAAGACAGCCTCAAGAATGCGACAAGTGGAGTCCTGCTACTGTTTCCCAATGGGAACAATTTACATCTAGCACTGAAAATTATCGGTCCGCACTTACAGTGACTACATTATGGGGCTGTTGGTTATTCACTGCTCAGTCATAAACTTAACTGTTTACAATCACATGACTGACCATGTACCACCCGACTAATACCCGCATCAAAACAGTGCCGGAGTACCGTAGAATTAACCGTAACAACTGATCTGCTTGCTTCGCCCATGTTATGACAAATACTGGGAAACCTTACCTTTACTGTTGTAGTGCACTCATTCATTTTACATTCAGTTGATGGAAACAACATTCGCGCACCGCAGGAGACGTGACAGACTATCCAGCGCAGAAACTATGGAGTGATGCACAGCATGCACAGTGTGTTGCAGCACATCTCAAATAAAGTGGTCAGACCTCGGTCCGGCGCAATGACCACTGCTGAATTTGTGAAAGCCAGGAGGAAAAACATGGCAAAAATGAAAAAAAACAACTGGAAGAAACGGACTGCTTAAAAACTGATGTTATCCAGCGGCGAAAACACTCTGACGAGATTCATGCATAATGTAGAGAGGTCAAGCCTGATCAACCTTTGAATCCTCGGAGCAGCAGCCGAGAGCTAGCTCAGCAGTTCAAAGTAAAACTGCTAGAAACCGAAAGCAGGAAGCAAATCCGTGCGCTATACACGTGAGACAAAGCAAGACTAAGTGAAGCGAGAGTACAAAACTTGCAACCCGCCACGGTTCAGCAAATATGCTTTGCAGAACTAAATCAAGTCCCGTATTCACAGATTAACATGGTCCGCCATGATGCGACGTAAAATGTCATGAAAAAGCAGAAGACGGATACTAGCTCAAACGAACAGTGTTCGAGCAGGTACCACAGAACTGTGCTTGACAGCATCAGTATAGTTCCGGGAAACGTACTTCCAACACTAATTTTCAGTCAGTGTTGTTTCACCGTCACGTTCCCTTTCGCCACTGACGCAAGTCACAACTTTTCAACTACTCCTTATCTTCGACATGTTCCAACCGTACAGTTCCACCGAAGCAGTGATAAAGTGAATCCTCCGAAGAGACTACAACCTTTTCTGAATTTTTCAACACTCGTACCTTTAAATAATCCGCTTTGTCCACTTACTGGCTCTCACAACTCAGCAGTTTCTTCTTGGCACATACTGCCCTGGTAATATTGATCATGCCAGTTACTGTTAATTTTTCTCTGGCAAGCGTGACATTTCATGTTTCGCCGGTATGCAGGTCTAGTAACACAATGAAATTAATAATTGGTCAACGCACCGACTGCCGGTGCGAAGATGCGTTTTTTGCATAGTTCTCTGCCGTTTTTGTCGCTATCAGCACCGGTTTTTTCGGCAGATGCTTCTAGCTAAAAGAACTGAGACTAGCCGCCAGGACTGTCAGGAAACATTTTAAAATTTCAACTTTCTAGTTTCCGTGGTTCCCGAGTTTGCAGTTTACTTGCAAAAAACTTTCACGAGCCCACATACGGGAACCACGCAGACCTAGTGCCTGGGTTTGAGCCCATTGAGACTTACGTGGACGGGAAACATCCCCTTAAAATTACTATCTTCTAGCTTTTCAGGTTCTCGAGTTAGCAACTTATCCGGAACAAACTTCCACCGCCTCGCAGGTGGGTATCACGCATACCGGGATCTGGGTTTGAGCTCATTGAGACTTATGTGGACGGGGAATACCCCCTTAAAATTACAGCCTTCTAACTTTTCAGTTTTTCGAGTTAGCAACTTACCCGAAAAAAACTTTGGCCGGCCCGCACGGGGTACCATGCGGGTAAAAGCTCCCATGTTAGGGATTGGGGCCCGTACATGCATGCAGATTAAGCTCCTAAAGTTCCAGCCCTGTAGCTTTTATAGGTCTTGAGATGAAAAATCGGTACAGACGCACACGCAGAGACAATCCTTCAATATCCGTTTCCCGTATTGCATAGATGCAAAAACGCATAAGTACCGCTTCCATAACCGGCACTAATGTTAATGTTAAAAAAAAAATCCTTGGTGGAAGTCTTCCACCCTGCTCATTTTCTTCTGCTTAGCCCTCTGCCCAACTCGTTATTAATCTGCACTGTGCCTAAACAGGAAGCTGTCTGCGAATACAGCGAAATGATTTTTAAATCTCAAGTCCAAATGAAAGTAAGCATTTTAAATCGACTTAGTTTTTCCTTTCGCTGGTTCGAAAGCACAGCTTCTTCTGCCCTGTCTGCAAGGTCACTTAACAGACTTTGCACCGATTATGGATTTTCTGCGACAAGCACAATTTTTTCTGCGAAAAGAATTAAAACATTTCTTCGCTTCAAAATCTACTATTTTCAGCGTATTTCTAGATGCACTGGCAACGGCTTTCTAAAAACAAATGTGCTTTGCTTCACACTTTTGTCAATTCTTATTTTTATGATTTCGTCAGTGTGTTCCCCACACGTGACTTGATAAGCCTCCGATAATTCGGATGCATGCCAAAGCATCCCCTTGATCTCAGAAAGTTTGCAGAATGGAATATGCTCCCCGGATTCACCGATATTTGTACATGTCTTCGCAATCTCCTTTCTTCTAAATCAGCACTTTCGAGCCCCATTTATTCTGCCGATGACTTTTTCGATTCGAGACTTCGCTATACCAAGTGTTTTGTGTTTTCGTGATCCTTTCGCCTCCTACACGGATCTCCCCGCGAATTTTCTTCATTCCTATTGACTTCTTAAGATTCACTATACAAACAGCAGTTGGAACTTCTCTGGTGGTTACAATGTGTACAGAATACTGAAGGTAAATTGAAGGCTGCACACCGCTACACGTTACGAAACAAATCTTCATGAAAATCCTCACAAATTCTTCAATGTGCCTTTAATCTATTGCCCTGCAGTCTTCACTGCGTACAAATACCATTAACAGGGCTTGAAGCGATAGCCAACTTTATACTAGTTTAATTCTCTCTGGGTTTTTCTTCCGTAAACTGCGATAACCTTTTTCCACTGTTCTTAGCTCCAAGCACAAAAATTCGCACTTTAGATCAACCTTGTGAGCCGCGGCTACTTTTCGCCTCCTTCAAGAATGTGCGAGGATTTCATGGCTTCAGCTGCTGGGTTTTCTGTTGAAGCTGTTGTGACAACAACTTTGCATTTGTTGGGACTGAAAAGGAAAAGGCTGCAGTCAGCGCCAACAGCGTTATCCCAGTTCCATGTTCAACAGCATGCAGCAAGAGATCGGGCGTTAACTAGCCCGGTCCGCTGCGCTGTTGCTGTTAATCTGCCCTTTATTTGGAGATCGATTCCCATCCTATCTCACACAAGACGACGACAACGACTAAGGCGCAGAGAAACAGCTGACCCCGGTATTGTAAACAAATTTGTAACCAGTCTTCAGTTGTCTACGAGCACAGAGATAACTTCATTCCGACATGCGTCGTTTGTCCAGTAATTTCATTTTTTCAGAAAATCATCAACTAATGGTCAGTTTGCTTATATGTACCAAAATCTTAAGTAGCCTTCATTTTCTTGTTTTTTTGAAAAAAAAAAAAAGAATGCGAACTCCTGACGAGGGAAGATCGAAAACTATACATTTCAGTGTTATAATAAGAGCACTGTTTGAGCCTGTCGAACGGCACCATGCGTGTATGCGTGTGTGCTTGCGCAGACGTAAACTTACAGAAAAGACAAACTTACCAAACGTAAGTAATAAAGACTATTCACTCTTGCCAACCAGCAAGCAGACGGAGATGAGTACCACAAGGCAAGCAGCCAAACACTGGCCGGCCGAAGTGTCAAAACCGGCGGAGAGTACAAACATGTGCAAAATGGGGCCTTCCAAATGCTGATAACCTGGGAACCACAGGAACCACGGTGAGAGCGCATGAAACGTATGGTGCCAACATCTGAATACGTAATACGAAGGGACGCTTAAAAAGATCAACGCAGTGCGGTGCAAACAAGTAAATCAAAATAACAGCCATGCCTCTCCGCTAATCATTGCACGTTTGGACGTACTGAAAAGACCTTAGACAATGCAAAGGTGGAGGGAAGGAGGTGGTACACGGGGTCACTTACTCATCCCGCTTGGAAAACGAGGGTTAGCTGGAAGCTTTCCAGTTACGTCAATCAACGCTGAACGCACTGCCCGGCAGTCAGCCTACTGGCAATCCTAACGTTCGGTGCTCGAGTGTCGGCCGCTTCAAAATCTACCTGGCACCTGTTTGGCATTACCAGCTCGCTTCGAGCGCTGCCCATCCCACCACTAAACTGATTCTTGATACACGTAGGCAGCCGCCACCCTCCCCCTCCCCACTCAAATTAAAGAGAGAGTAGAATGCATATGAAACGTAAATGCACATGCCATCTGAATGCTGGTGGCACTGTTTGCAAGCCAGCAGCCAAGCCGAAGCCGCACAAGAGAGATGCAGTTCGGCTCTGATGCACCCCACTGGATGCCCCCACAACAATGCCGGCTCTGTCTTTACCAGTGAAACGAAGCTTATCACCATAAAATGTAGTAACCATTCACAATTCCCGCCGCTTTCCACACTGCACAGGGGCTTTTTTTCTGTTTGTGAAAACATGCCTATCTGTGTGCGTGGCTACTCTGAGATAGTGCAACAATCAACAAAAGCGTTTTGTGGCGTAACACTCTGTCGCCACTGTGGAGCTTTGCCGCATGAGGCAAAGGCGACTGAGCAACCAGCGCTTGTATCAAAGAGAAGTTTTGCAGAAAATTCGTAAAAGAAACCGACAACAGTGCAGTGCAGGGCTCAGTCTGCACGACAAATTAATTTTCGAAACAAACTGAATAAAAACGTACGTGTACCGTGAGGCATTCGCGCAAACTAATGCAGCACTGAGATGCCGCCATGCACGCCATTCCCTGAAAGAACCTGAAATGCGAGACATCGAGAGTTTTGCAAAAACTTGCTATGCACTGCCTTTGCAAGGCAATACTTCCAGACGTCTGGACGTACATGCGCTAGGACGCATTGCTCTCCGTCACATACGCTCCTCCTGTCCCCAAGAAGCGACACCCGGTCCCCTTGTCAATTTTAGTGCCCATACGATTGCTACGAGTAACGGCCATTCTGAGGACGAGACAACTCAAGAACGGCGGAGCAGAGGAAGCGATTTTCGCGCAGAAGGAGCAGCGAGAGGGACAAGAAAGACGACCAAGCATGCGGCTTGCTGAGGTCTGCCCGAACGGGATGGTCAGCAGTGGCAGTAGCCAAGCTACAGAAAGCATGCAAGCAGTGCTGCCGGCCGCGCCTTGCATCTCCAGTGTCACGCAGCGCATGCAACACGGCGCAGTGCGCGAGGACCAGTGCGGCAGCATGCGTGGACAGTTCACAATGACCGCTCTGCCTCAACCCAGATTAATGCGTGTGGACGGCCTCCGAGCACAGCTAATCAATACCACTCCGCTTCCCAAGCCTTCCCGCCGTTACCGTGGAAGCGTCAAAGCAAGGATACACACCACACACACACATACATACATATACGTGAATAAAATATAAGAGCAAACAAACAAACAAACACATAATCCCGATGTTTCTGCCGCTGGTGGCGGACGCTCTGCCTTGAGCGACTACTAAAACTCGGCTTGGCGATGTCGAGAGGCGAGTTGTAGTGACTGGTGGAAGAGAGAGGATTGGAGGCGGAGAAGGAGAAATTGAGGATCACGCGTGTTAGTTTAGGTCTCGGAGGCCATGCGGAGGGAAAGGGACAGAGTTTATGAGGAAAGTAACCTAGGTAGGTTTTTTATGCTCAGCATGAAGCTTGATGCTGAGTGGAAGCTAGCAATCTTTACCCCAGAGCCTCACCCAGACAGGAAACCCTGCACCACGGTTTTCGCAGCCCTAACCGGATCCAAAAATGAGGGATATTACGCGAGAGAGCCGAGCCGAGTTTATGTAGAAGCTCTGCTTCTGCATTGCTGGGATTAGTGAGAGTGCGCTAGCGTACGGAAACCACCCTTAGCCCGATCAGATCCCGAATTATGCAGCTAGGGAAGCAGCAGAGTTTGGAAGGAGAATTTTTACTTCGGCAGAATCACCACCACTGAAAATTCATTAAGCGAAATACTATG